TCTCTATCTCCCTCTGATCAATGTTTATAAACAATGTTACTTTGTATCTCTCTATCTCCCCTCTGATCAATGTTTATATACAATGTTACTTTGTATCTCTCTATCTCCCTCTGATCAATGTTTATAAACAATGTTACTTTGTATCTCTCTATCTCCCCCTCTGATCAATGTTTATATACAATGTTACTTTGTATCTCTCTATCTCCCTCTGATCAATGTTTATAAACAATGTTACTTTGTATCTCTCTATCCCCCTCTGATCAATGTTTATAAACACTTCTTCAGCTACTAGATTTACACAGCATCTTCTGGCCATCATTTGACATTTGGGAATTGCAGGTGTGAGGGAGGCAGAAGATCAGGATATACTACACTCGCTCTATATACTTCTAGAAAGTTCTTTGGGTGTGTGTAGTGTGTTCAGTTTCCGCAACTGTTTAGACATTGCCATTTATTTTATGGGATGACATAATTGGAAAAGTCAATTTTCAGACGCTCAGAATAATTTATCGGTGCAGTTTGATTGTTCAGTAGATTGTCACTGATCCCGATCCACCTTTTATCCGCAGACATGGAACGGCCGAGCTTCGGGCAGATCATCCTTCTGGCTTCTAGTTCTGCAGTTACCGCCATCTTCTACACGGTGTACCGTCATAAGTACCTCGCTGCTCAGTCACTGAAGGTTAAATTGTCACCGCCTTTCTTTTTACATTTGGTGTTGTATTCCTCTGTATATGGATTTATTTTCTCCTCGCTAGAACAGCTCTGTATCTGGATATGGACCTTTTAGAATTGGAAATCCCACAGAGGAAGGGAAGAGAACTGGGACAATGGCATCTGGGAAAATAACTTCTTATGGGTAGCCTACATAAAGTAGAACTATGGCTTCCTATTTCAAAATCAAATCTATTCTGCACAACTTTATTAGAAGTTCATCTGCGCTTTTCAGTTTTCTCTTATTCCCCTGCAAAGTCCCACAAATACCTGTTGATCCCGCCAGTGAAAGTCAACTGAATTCAACTTCCTGTGATAGGGGTGACAACTATGCTGCACTGCTCCTGAATTCAGAACAGAGTTGTCCCTCTCATGTAGGCTCTGCCCACTTGCACTACAGTGGGAGGAGAAGTTGTTGTAGGGGGTGTGGCTATTACTGCTGATTTATAAGCCTTTAGCTTGTCAGTCATCACCTGACCACTCCTAGCCCAGCCCACTTCTTTCTGGATTGACAGCACGGCCTCTGCTGCTGAAACCCTTCCACTGTGAGCTCCGGTGTCTGGGAGGGGGAGGGGTGAGACACAAGTGAAGAAGGATTTGGCTTAGTCAGGGAAGTTAGGTTTTTGTTTACTTTACGGGGCTTGTGCATCACATTGTATCGGGATGTGGGACCTGTTTAGACTTTCATATCAGAGCTCTTTGTTGTGTATATATATTTATATAGGGAAGCACCAATACTAGTATCGGTGCCGATGCCGAGTACTCGTACTCACCCAAATGCTCCAATGCCTAGCCCGATGTTTCCTGTATCAGAAAGCCAGGCAGCGCGTCATTACACGCTGCCCGGCTTCCTAATTGGCCGGGAAGCGGCTCCATGCTCTCTCGTCACTTGTGACGAGAGAGCATGGAGCCGACTTCCCGGCCAATCAGGAAGCCGGGCAGCGTGTAATGACGCGCTGCACGACTTCCTGATTGGTTGGGAAGCTGGCCAATCAGGAAGCCGGGCGCGTGTAATGATGCAGCATTCTGATTGGCCGGGAAGCCGGCTTCATGCTCCCTCGTCATCTCATGACGAGGGCGGCCGCCGGCCAATCAGGAAGCATGGCGTCGCGTCATTACACAGCGCCCGGCTTCCATGATTGGCCAGCAAGCCGGCTCCATGCTATCTCGTCGCATAGTGGCGAGAAGCATGGGGACGGCTTTCTTGTTAATTGGGATGCCGGGTGGCGAGTCTTTCCACGCCGCCTGGCTTCCTGAATGGGACTTCCGGTACTCGGTAATTGATATCGGCGAATGCCGAAAAAAAAATAACGGTACTCCTACTCAGTACCAAAATACTGGTATCGGTGCATCCCTATATTTATAGATGGATAAAGGAGCAGTGATGCTGTCTTAGCTTCTTATTAAAGGAGAACTATTGACCCGGGATGGAAGATATGTCGCATTCTGATGAGTAAATAAAGTTTCTATTGTTTCTTCTCTTTAAGGGAGCCAAGAAAATCTCCCTGGACAATGACTTGCAGAACTTCCTCATGGACTTGCCCGGGAAGTGCGTCCCGTATGCCGTTATTGAAGGTACACTGACCAGATTTATATGTCACGCATAGATGTCTTGGAATTGGTTCATCTGCTGAGAGTCACATGACGGGCGCTAACTCGCAGGCGAAGAGGACAAAGAACACAGCGGGCCTCATGTAGTCTAGTGTCTGTATTCATCGGCCATTGTACATGAAGCCCATGAGTTTCCCTGCAGCAGAGGAAGATGACTTGTTCATATAACATACAGCTTCTGTGGTTTCCTCACTGACTAATGGGGGGCTTACTCCCCACAACTCCCGACCGCCCACCCGCCTCCCCCTTGTGCAAAATGGCCTAGGTGGCACCTACTGATTACGGGGGGGGATAGGGGGATTTATCAAAACTGGAACAAACAGAATCTGGAGAAGTTGCCAATGCAACCAATCAGCATCTCCCTTTGGTTTCCTCACCACCCCATCTACCGACCACCACCCCATCTATCACCATTGCTAATCCCTATTCCCCCCTCCCCGCTCCGATCCTCCTGCTCTGAGTGGCGGAACGGACGGGGGAGGGGGCGGGTACAGCTGGCTCTGCCTCTAGATAGGAGGAGCCAGCTGTCAGTCACGCAGCTGGGCGGATCCAGACACAATTGTCGGGATCCGCTTCAGCTGCGGCGTCTCAGTATATAGGGAGCTGTAGCTAGTTTGTGTCCTCCCGTTACCCTAAGGAGAACTATGGGGAAAAGCCCTGACCCCATAGTTCTCCTTTAAAGGAGAGAGTAAGGTTAGGGTAACCTAAAGGAAGTTAAGAAGCCATTTTAGGGGTATCCCGGAGACCAGCTTCAATGCAGAACACATAGTTGGGATACTTCCACGCAAGCGGTTTTATTCTCCATTGGCTTTGTAATGCTCCTCCAGTCCTTCCGGGACTTACATGGCAGTGTCAGGACGGTGATGGTGGCTTCACATTAAAGCGGGGTCACGTTCCTGCCCTTCAGCCTGTGATTGGACGATATAGTACTGAGAGTGCCGCGCTCCTTCTTTTCTCCCGGCTTTGATGATGTGCGTTTATTTTTCAGGCGTGGTGCGAGCGGCAAAGGATTCCCTCAGCAGTCAGTTCATGGACAGCTGTAAAGGAGTGATCCACAGACTGTCCCTGAAGGAGCACAAGATGGTCTGGAACCGGACCACGCATCTGTGGTGAGTCCCATTGCCTGACGGGTCAGCCAAATGTAACACGTGTGTGGGAACCCGGAGGAGTGGGCGGTCCTAGGCAGGATCTATTTGCATGCTGACCACCCGGGGTAACGCCCACATGTGACGCTGAGCCTCCAGGATGGACAGAACTGAAATCCAATGAATGAAAGGGGCGGGGCCAGGGAGAGTCAGGCTGGGGAGGAAAAGCCTAGATGATGCTGGACGTCCTTCAGTCAGAAAATGAGGCGGGATCTATCTCGCTGCAGCTTCTAATGCACATTGTGAGAAGCTCCCATTGTTCAGTGATATCAGGGGAAGAGGAGCCGGGACAACTGTGCAAGACTGAAGGGGAGGACGGAGGTCAGATGGAAGACTGAAGGGGAGGACGGAGGTCAGATAGGAGACTGAAGGGGAGGACGGAGGTCAGATAGAAGACTGAAGGGAAGGACGGAGGTCAGATAGAAGACTGAAGGGAAGGACGGAGGTCAGATAGAAGACTGAAGGGAAGGACGGAGGTCAGATAGAAGACTGAAGGGAAGGACGGAGGTCAGAGAGAAGACTGAAGGGAAGGACGGAGGTCAGAGAGAAGACTGAAGGGAAGGACGGAGGTCAGATAGAAGACGGAAGGGAAGGACGGAGGTCAGAGAGAAGACTGAAGGGAAGGACGGAGGTCAGAGAGAAGACTGAAGGGAAGGACGGAGGTCAGAGAGAAGACTGAAGGGGAGGACGGAGGTCAGATAGAAGACTGAAGGGGAGGACGGAGGTCAGATAGAAGAATGAAGGGAAGGACGGAGGCCAGGTAGAAGACTGAAGGGGAGGACGAAGGTCAGATTTCAAGTATTAGTGTCAGAGGGGGGATGGGAGAGCTAGCCCTAGACAGGAAGGGATCGGGTCCTCTTCAACATACAAACATTTAAGGGTTTGACCTTTTCCCTCAGGAATGACCACGAGAAAGTCATCCACCAGCGAACGAACACGGTGCCCTTTGACCTGGTCCCGGAGGAAGCGGAGGCCGGCGGCCTCGCCGTCCGAGTCGTGAAGCCGTTAGAGGCCACCGAGTTAGACTTGGAGACCATCTACGAGAAGTTTCACCCCGCCGTTCAGTCCTTCAGCAACACGCTGGGACACTTCCTGACCGGCGAGCGCCCCAAGGGGGTCCAGGAGACGGAGGAGATGCTGCAAATCGGGGCGACGGTGACGGGGGTGGGCGAGCTGGTCCTGGACAATAAGACGATCAAGCTGCAGCCTCCGAAGGCCGGCATGCGCTATTACCTCAGCAAGCTAGACTTCGAGTCCCTGGTGCAGAGGCAGGAGTCCCAGGTGCGCGTGTGGAAGGTGCTGTGCCTCCTGTGCGGCGTGGCCACCTGCGTCACCCTCTTCTTCATCCTCCGGCGCCAGTACAGGCACTGCAGGGAGAAGCAGCGCCTGAAGAAGCTTCAGCAGGAGTTCGAGGAGGCCAGAGAGAGGCTGGGGGAGGACGGGGCCGAGGAGGCCAGGAACACATGCATCATCTGCCTGGCCAACCAGAAATCCTCCGTCTTCCTGGAGTGTGGCCACGTCTGCTCCTGCTACCAGTGCTACCAGGCTCTGCCCGCGCCCAAAAAGTGCCCCGTGTGCAGGAACGCCAT